CGGAAATACTTTTCATACAGACCCTAATGTTCGTGAAGCATACCTTGTATTTTGTGGTTGCAGTGCTGGCTATCCAATGTTATAAACAGTACATATGTACATACTCCTGTAAGCCTTCATGTCACGTTAACGGCAATTGTTGTTATTGCCATGCGCTGAAGTTGTTTTGTGTAGCAGTGTCCAGGGCTACCATCCTCGCAAGCACCAGCACTTCATATCAGATTATCGCTTCTGGTGTTGCTAACACTCATGTTCTTGTTGGCTTTGTTGCACAAGTGCAAGCAACCGGTTATTTAAACATCTGGATATCGTCAATATATGTCTGTGTGTTCAACATTTGTACATATATTTAGCGTTGTATCATAACATATTGCTCATAAAAAATTACAATATAGTCACTTCACGTATAAGCATGCTTCGCATAACGTCGATTCCCGTAGACGGTACGTGGGATCTGCCGAATTTTTTTGTCTGCTTTTAAACCACTCTCTGTAAAGTATTTGTGGACAATCACAAGGGTAGTCTGAGTGCGGCTAACCCGCACAAAGTGCGTGGTGGGGAATTCTCGAGATATTCGATAGCACTAGTCAATAACGCTAACAAGTACTGGTAGTATGAAAGTAAATAAGGCAGTCTGCATGTACCATACCTTCGGCATTGGCTCATATCTTTTTTTTCTCAATGCGAATACCTCGAAGGTCCTATTCTGAGTCATACACAAGCGGCAGTTTCATGACTTAAGGACACGCTTTATTATAGTGAACATTTTTTTCAGGATCCACACATTTTTTGTTGATGCTTGCAAAGAAAACAAAACATACAGACAACTTTGCAGCTATATAAAGCTTATAGGACTAGATGGGCGGTATTCATTGTGTCTATAACTACACATAAAAATGCGTGCTTGAGTGCTGCTTCAATAATCGCGCAGAAAAATAGCTACGCAAGCTGATCAGCGAATGCCAAGTTACTAACAATATCTCGTGATCTGACTAAAATACCCTACAATGGTAACAATAAAACAGCCGCAGTCAAAAGGGCGTTGAACTGGATGTCATAAACTAGCTGGGCATAATGGAGACGAACTGATGGAGCCACTAGACCAAAAAGCAATTACGAAATAATGAAATATAAAAAGAAACCATGTGGACAAACGGACATATCACAGTGTTTGGGAAGACGGAGTTAAAGAAAATTTAAAAATGACGATAATTTATGTATTCATACTTGTGAAAAGTGCGCGAAAGTTTTGGGGCACGTTTTGTTGGCCAGTTTCAATATCCTAACACATATCGAACTTTTATTTTTCATCCATTACTATAATGCACCATTACGAAAAAATGTTTCCGATAAAATTAAGGTGGATATTGTAGTGGACACGGGAAAGACAAGGTGGATGTTGTCTTGTACCTCACAGAATTTATAATAATCGTGCTTAAGCCGTCCCCGTACTCCCCTCGCAATGAGCAAATCGGCAACTTATTCGTCCGCGTGGAGAACGTTGCATCACTATCCAGAATTCCAAGAGAGCACCAATTCACAGCAACATTTACAGTTGCACATGCAAGCGTCTTTCTTTTTTTTTTTGGAGAGGGAGGCGACGCCTACTGCGCGTACGTGTTGCTGTGAATAGTTGTTCTATTTCCATCCCGTTTCATGGCAGTTACCTGGACACAGTGCAAAAGTCTTGTCTCTTGCTCAAATGGGAAGGGAACGTCACCTGTCATACCTCCACCGTGTCTAGTACAATAATCACTATTGTGAGAGGAGATACTCTATCATCGCGTGTATATTGTAATTATAAACGGAGAAACTTTACAATGCGAGGAATCGTTAGAGGTCTTGCTCAAAATGACCCAAAAGTCGTGAGGTCGATCCCGGCCCCGGTAGTCGTATTTTGATGGAGGCGAAATGCAGTGAGACCGTCCTATATTTTAACATCAGAGCAAACAAATAAAGAAAGAACAGCTGTTCCCAGTAAAAGCTTGTTGGCATGAGCCGCTATGTCGTTTCAATGTAAATGTCTCATAAATTCCGGTCAGCCATCCGATCCAGATCACATACGTTCGTCCGTCGAATGGGTCTTTTAAAAGTATTTCTGTCTATACAAGAGGAGACGACCTCATCCCAGAGGACTTCGGTGTGCGTCTGCTAGCCAATAAAAAAAGCTGGCGTAACGACAAATGGCACGATACCAATCTAAACGCCCCGGCAAGTGCAGCAGGCGTCGGACCGAGCATCGAGTCACTGGTCGCGAACTCCATACGCATGCGCGTGGTTCTGTACACCATCACGGTGCCCGCCGCGAGCAGTTTGGCGAGCCATGCAAGCCGATCAATCGTAAAACACGAGTATACACAACCCAGCTGCGCAGGAGCCTCGGAATACCGCAGAACACGGCGTGCGTATATACATACACGTATACCACTCCTGAGAATGATGCCAACGAGGAATCCGTGTTTTTATGAGCGTGCTTCTCCCAATGCGAGGTGAGTTTGTGAGTTGCCTTTTATGAAGCACGCCGCTTTCAAATCGCTAAGCATCGAGCTGTTTCTTCGTGCGTTATCTGGCATTGGTCGCGGGTGGTTCAATGTGTGCCGTGAGCAAGCGGTTTGCGTGCTCACGTCCGGTATGGTTGCATCCTTAATTGTTCACTTCAAAGCACCGCCCTCGGTGCGAGTTCGAGGTTTCAGTGACCGAACGTTTTCGATGCCAATTACCGTGCTTAAATAACTCTTGTAGTCGTCATACTGTGTATGTGGTGTTGTTGTTGTTTATGTTGTTGTTGTTGTTGTTGTTGTTCGTTTGTTTTCTTTTTTTAGGAGAGCTTACATTGAACCAGAGACACGAAGGCCTCGAAAACAAAAGTGTGTATACAGTCACGCTCAATATGACTTCCAATACGGTAGTGCGTGGCCTCGCGAGTTGAAATGTTGCGCATGGTTTCAACTTGTTTCTACTTCAACAACAAAATAAAATATTTTCTTATTTGGGGTCATAATCAAGGGAGAAATCGTGTTTAGTAACGGAAATAAGGGCTAGTGGAAGCCGTGCGCAGTCCTTGAACTCGTGAGGCCACGTGCTTCCGTTTTGCAAGTCATATTGAGCACGTGCGTGGGGCACCGTACGAATACCACGCAGCGAACCGAAAGAAGCATAACAATGTTAGATAAAATATAAAGGCAGTTAATTTATCACATTTCCATAAAGGCATAAATAATGAGGAAATAGTGCTGTATATATCAAAGTGACCGCATATTGTAGCTGTTCGTAGAATTTTCGCTCCAACTTGTAGCACACTACAACAGTTTAATTAGAAAAAATGTCATTTACTAGATCAATGAATCATGATTAGTGCTTACCTTATATTATAGTGGCACTACAGTGGGGGGAATAAAATTGCTGTTGTATATGCCCGTTTCGATGTCAAACACTGCGTTAGGGCATTGACAGTGCTGGTTGCATTGATTGGCTGAACAGAACAACTTTTAACATATGATTTTAGACCCCAATGTCGGCAACCTCATAGCGGCCTTATGCCAAAAGCCAGAGGAGTCAATCGGATAGTCATGTGAGAACATCGGGAAAACAAGTCGAAACTTACGAAAAGTCTTCCCCTGAGTTACTTATCAATGCAATGCCATCTGCGTATCCCAGGTTAATATGATACTCTCCATTAACTATTATCCCTAACTCTTTCCAATCTAGGGCGCTGAAAACCTCCAGTAAACACGCGGTGAATAGCATGAAAGAGATCGTCTTCCCTGTCTTGCACCCTTTTTTATTAGGATTCAGTTGCTTTTTTATGGAGGACTATTGTGGCTATGAAGCCACTGTAGATTTCTTCCAGTATATTCATACGGGCTTCGTCGATGCCCCGACTCCGCAGTGCCTGCATGACTGCTGATATCTCGACCAAATCAAATGTCTTCTCGTAATGTATGAAGGCTATGTATAGAGGTTGGTTGTATTGCGCGAATTTCTCTATCACCTGATTGATAGTATGAATATGGTCTATCGTTGTGCAGCATGTACAAAATCCTGCTTGGTTCTTTGGTTGATTGAACTGTAATGTCGTCTTAATTCTATAAGCTTTCATTTTTGTGACTAGCCTGTGGAGAAGGGACAGTAAGCTGATCGGCCTGTAATTTTTCAAGTTCTTGAAGTCCCCTATTTTATAGATTAAGATGATTTGGGCATTTTTCCAAGATTCTGGCACCCTCCCCGTCAAGAGACACTTGGTATACAGGGTAGGCAGTTTTTCTAACACAATCACTCACCCATCTTTCAACAGGTATGATCTTGCCTTATTCTCACAAGCGGCTTTGCATCAATGCATTCTTTCTAGGTTTTTCTTTACTTTCGCTGTCGTTACTGGTCGGACTTCAGATTACTCTGGCTTATGGTTCTTGCGATATCATCCTAGTTGTTTTGGCTGTTTTACAAATTTCTGTAGAGCTCTTCTGCTACCTCAACTATCCATATCTAGATAGCATGTGACAATGCCATCCTTGCCCCTTAATGTGAGAAAGTCAAATTCACAATGAAGTGCTCAAACAAACTCAATTATATTAATTAACATTTAAGTGCACAGAGGAAGAGAGATTAAAATGAAAAACAGGCATGTCAATTTGTTGCTGTGATATCTGGTTTGCTACCCACACACATGCACAAATATAACCTTTAAGTAACGAATAAGAGAAATCAGTTTTATCAAGGGGTCTATTACCACAATTTGCTTATATTTTTTATGCATTCTTGCTCTGTATATTCAAGTATATTGCTATTATCTGGCATCCCGCCGAATCGGCACTGAGCTCTTCTGCATGTCAAGTGTTTTGTGGGTAAATATAATCCTTTCTTTCTTATTACCTTCTGTGTCCTTTTTCATTCATTATACGCCGAATAGATGGCCAGATTTAGACTCACCTTAGATAATGTTATCATGTCCTTTATCTATATTTCAATTAATATTCTCACCATATTCTTTATCTACGCAGACTCTGGAGAAAAGTTTTGAGCGCCAAAAGTACCTCAGCGTGCAGGATCGAATGGAGCTGGCGGCGAAACTCAACCTTACGGATACCCAGGTCAAGACCTGGTACCAGAACAGAAGGTACTACGACATCAAATAGCGAGTCGGAAGGCGAAGCATGCCCTTGTGTTCGAAAGAAGAGTTCGCGATATTCTCGCGTAAAGAGCGTTGACATAAATATAGCTTTAGAATAAGGGAATCAAGAAACGCTGGTCGCTTCGAACTGGATGTCTCGAAGTGTGTGGATAGTGTGACAGCACGGCAGCATTAAGGGTACACATTTGTTTTCCATTTCGCCCTTGCAATAGTGTATTTCATTCACAGCAGTGGTGAATAAAACACACACACACACACGCACACACAAACACACACACACGCATACGCACGCGCGTGTGCGTGGCACAATTAGATTTTATGTTGTGCTTTGTCACTCCTGTTCGTACGTATACACTGTCTGTTTGGACGCTGCTAAGCCTAAGTACGAGATTTTCGTCTACCAAGTGGCACCACAGAACTTGCGGTTCGTTCACCTCTATTGAGTCTGCATAACCTTGATATCAACATTTGTGTGTCTAGTACAGGGAGTTTCCGTACGCCTCTTATATGTCCTGAAAAATGCGTGCGACGACTTATTAGCCCAGTGGTGTCGTATCTCTACATGTGCAACTCGAACGCAGGACAAAATGGAAGAGGCAAGCTATGGTCAACATCGAGCTGCTCCCTGGAATGCACGGCGCCGTCTCCGCTGCTGGCCTATGGCCCTCCAGTGCGGCTGGCCTCAGTTCTGGATTTCCAGCAGCTTTCTGGCCTTACCCGTACGGCGGTTACTTCAACGCGGCCGCTGCCGCCGCCGCCGCGGCCATGAGCAGAGGCGGCGGTATTTTCCCGGTGTCTTCGGTTGGTGGCGCTGCAGTCGGCGGCAACATGGAGAGCCTTCAGCGAGCCCTGGAATTCTATCAGCAGAGGGGAGCTCAGGCGCTCCTCGGGGTCGACTCTCAGCTCCGACCAGCCGTCGCTACCAATATAAACAACAACAGTGCTTCCATTGTGGTTGACTCGTCCAAAGCTGACGCCGACCTTCGCCACGAAGACAAACAGTGACGCGTTTGAACATTACCTTGTGAAACTTTCTAAAACATTGGACAATGGCTAGCATCGGAATTGTAACTGGACGCACCAAGTACAACATCGTAGCTGTGCTCCGACGCACCAAGAAGCCCCATTTTGCATTTTGACTGGGGCATGTGATCTTGATTCATCGAGTGGACTTACATTCCAAAGAATTGTTTGGTGGCTTCTTATTGTCATCATTCGCACATTTGTAATGATTCTGATTTATTTGGTTGTGTCACCTCACGTTCCCGCTGTGTATTTTTAAATGACACTCCAAAAATATTTAACTTGGTTCCCGTGCGTGCTAGGTTTGTTTCTATTCAACAACTCTGTCTTCTCAATCGGAAATGTTTTTGTAGATCTGTGGCAGGCGGGTAGTTGTAATTTTAATACGACCCCAACCCAACTAGAACAGTAAGACTCGATCCAGTAAAAGACATCACGGTCACCTGCTGGAACACGCTTATGAAGTTTGGCTTTGACATATGTGATTTTGGTAAAGCTTGTGACTTCCAGGTAGCCGACTTATGCTGCTCGAATGCTGCAGGAAATGACGCTAGGCCGCTCAAGCAGAAAAATAAGTCAAACTAATCAGTGCTCATTAACAATTAGGATTCGTCGTGGTTTTCAAGAAGAACACTTTTTTTCATGGCATACAGTCGTCCGTCCACAGCTCGATTTAGTGCACACGAAAAACAGCCGTTGCTTATTGCTTCCATGCGCAACGAAACAGTTCAGCCTCAGCTCCCAGTCGCATGAGCTCCATGCAGTGAATGTCTCAGAATGTGCTTATTGTCGTTTCACGCAGCAGTCACATAATGACCTGCTATGTGCTTCATTCGCAGACAGAAATAGTACCTTCCTCCCCAATTTGATAGTATCCATCTCGTAAAGCATCAAGCTGCGAATTCTGTGAGACGTGAGGTAGGGAGGCATGAAACGCACGTTCATGTATGATCCCTTAATTACTCACTCAGCTCGAATAGCGGTTTCTGAAGTGCGTATCATGGCGGATACCATAGAGACTGATTGCTCAAGTCACGGTGGCACTCATGAGCAAACTGCTTTGTATCTCGTCTAACAGGTTTCGCCTGTGCACTTGGTGACCAGAAGCAATACCTTTCCGACAAGGTTGTTTTTTAGCACGTGTATGTGAGTATGTGTGCTTGTGTCTAAAGTGTGTACATACGTGTAACTTGCAACCTGATTGGACACGTATACACTGGAGAAGACTGAAATAACTCCAACACTCTTCGCAGAGCACCGAGCAAATAGCAGACTTCTTCGTTCTCTCAGCACACGAAGCTTCATTACATTCGCATTGTATATTCTTGAAAGAACTATGCCTTGCTTTTCTGATCATGCTAGTTTCTGCAGTGTGCGGGTTTTGCTCGCGTTGCGGCTGGCCGCTTTACTGTGTGATGTGCACCCTCCCGACAGCGATGACACAAGGTGTGAGAGGTGCACGCGACAAGAGCCGTGCGCGGCAGTACCACAGTGTGCAGTACTACATTCCTAATCATGTTACCAATAAAGTGCCAGCTGTAGCCAGAAAACTGGGGGAGGGGGGAGGCTGAGGTGTATGTCTTAATTGTTATGACGTGTGAAAGGTCCGCGGCTTCCTTGCTCTTTCTCCACGCACGGCGAGGATGAGCACTCGGGGAGGTGGAGCGACACGTGGTGCAGCAGCGGCAAGTCTCCTGGCGAGCACAGCTGCTGCGCCTCTCCGCAGCAGATCACGTCGCATGACGTCACAACTAACACACTTTCGCTACGGCGCTCAAGGTCACTGTGTTGTGGTGAATGGCCTTGGAAGGCGTGAAGTAGTAGAGCTTTTGCTCAAAGAAGTTTGTTTCCTGGCTATTTATAGCACTTCACACGGGCACCTGGTATGCATTTTTCTATCGTCCTGCCAAGCTATGCATCCGTTCTATTAATCCCTTACGGGCAACTGCTTCCATCGTTTCGATCTTGCATATTGGCATGCGAAAACAAGAGCCAAGAAGAGAACGACCAGCGGGCACATAATTATACAGCAGACTTATCCAGCTGTACAACAAGAATTTTAATAACGCTTGCTAGTAGCCTGGTTGGTGATGCATAGCTCATAGGCATAACGGCATACACGTAACAAGACACCAAAGAGACCAAGGAAAGAGTGCTGCTATTCTCCGTCCTGTGTCTTTTTGGTGTGTTGCTATGTTTATGCTTTTGCATGTATGGACTAAGTGTTCCGTGCTTTTCAGTCCATGACGAGTGTTACGTTCGTCGTTTCAAATAATTCTCTCACTTCTATCGTGGCACGTTTTTGACAGTTTTTTCTTGTCTTCATTATTTTATCAGTGTGTACATGCGTGCTACAATTTTCTGCTTTTTTGCTTCATGACGTTTCGTGAATCTGGAATGTGGCGAGTAACGCACGTGATAATCTATTGTGGACTGCGTGCAAGCTATTTCCGATGTTGAAAAGTTCAATGGATAAGAAGTAAAAACATCACTACCATTCGCGAGCTTCTCAGTGTAGTCATTCGTTTCATTGTATTTACTTATATAACGCCAGAAGAAGTGTTGATTTGTGTTGATGAGTGCTTAATGGTGTTAATGAAGGCAACAAAACGTGAACACCTAAAGATCTCACCGTCCCGCCTTATATGTTTCAATGCCCGCCGCTTTTTATGTCACACCTGTAAGTTTAGCAAATGAACATCTTCAGTGGCAATTTCAGCTTGCCTGTTTTTGTTTTAGATTATTTACTCTCATGCAGAACAAAAATAAAACGATGTGACTGTCTGCTGCTGGCAATAAAGGGGAAGATTCCCACTGTTGGTGAAATCTGTGAACTAAAAAAAACGCACACTAACTAATAAATTTGACAACTAGCTTGCAGAGTTAACTGAAGACATTAGCAGAACGAATTCTTCTTGAAATCAGCGTATCAGTCATTATTGTTAGTTATACTTAAGTCCTGCAAAAAGGATAAACTAAAACTCATTCATCAAATTTTGGAGACTGGCACTACAGACTGGCTGAAAAGCTCCGTTGCACAAGTTCTACGGCGAAACCCTCAAATATCTCACGCCCACGTCTGTCTCTCCATGGATCCGTCCCTCTTTCTGTGTTTACTCACGATACAGACTCACAATTATGTGACTAGTTTCATTTCGGAAACTTGGACGTCGTGGTAAGTTTCGTTCAGTATTCTGACATTACTGCTCAGCCAAACATAATAATATCATCATAAGAAGGAAACTTTATTTACTCATATGCTTACATTCGGTCACCCACGGAACATCAGGTTTGAGCGGAAACAAGGTAATTATGATTGATATTTGGGGTTTAACGTCCCAAAAACACCATATGAATATGAGAGGCGCCTTAGTAGAGGGCTCCGGAAATTTTGACCCCCTGGGGTTCTTTAACGTGCACCCAAATCTGAGCACACGGGCCTACAACATTTCCGCCTCCATCGGAAATGCAGCCGCCGCAGCCGGGATTCGAACCCGCGACCTGCGGGTCAGCAGCCGCGTACCTTAGCCACTAGACCACCGTGGCGGGGTGAGCGGAAACAAGCTATAGCGCGACTGTCTTTCACTGAAGAAGGGCAGATGCACCGACAGGTGTTTCCCCTGCAAGCACTGTTTGGAGAAGCACCGCAAGAATATGCATTCCCCTGATACCAACTGCTATACTGAACGTTATGTATGCATAAAAAAAACATGACATGGTCAGTTCAATAGCCACAGGCTTTTGTTGAACACACTTAGAAATTTTTGAACACAAAGCTTTCCTTCATTTTTTTTATTTGATATGTAGTCAGTTCACCTCATCGTCAGGGCGCTTGAGGTTTCGTCGTCTGCCAACAGGTGTTGCTCCGGCGTGGAAGGGCAGTGATAAACCCCAATGTTGCTTTTTTTTTTTTTTTGCTTCGACGCTCACAGTTATATTAATGCGGTAACGTTAAAGAGCTCGTTTCTCAGAAATTTTGGCGTCGGTGAGGGCTTCGTTGGTGGTGACCGAAAAATCATCATCTTGTTCGTGACCTAAAAATCGAGAAAGATGCAGATCAAATAAAATAATGAAAATTTCCCGGCCCAAGTAAGAATCGAACCTTGGCTACTTGTACGGCAAGCAGGAGTTCCCCAACACAGCCGTGCCTCTGCTTGAAAATACAAGAAAAATACCTTCTTCTGCTCACAAATTCACTGAAAAAAACTTTACTGCTTTGAAAACAAAGGTGTCCTGTATTGAGGCTTCACTATACAACATGTAATATCGCAGTGATATTGCGTGTTACAAGCGAACATTGCCATCGGGCGTCATAACGTGTGATTTTCATAACGAATTAGTGGTTTAAAGCCGGTCACCCTTCGCAACAAGCCCACACGTTACAGCACACATTCACCTAAAGGCCAACTCCGGCAATTTTTTTACCTTGTCAGGATAATGGTGTGCTTTTGTATTCCTCAGACACTCTTCCTACGCACACGATAACTGAAATGCTCAAAAATTTCGAAAATAATTTTTAATTACTGAAAACAGCAATACCGAAACCGAAACCCGGCCGAGTGCGGTTCTACGTGTGACGTGCAGATTTGCCTGACTTGTCCGGAACCTGCATGATTGCATATAAAGCCCACCAGATAGCACTACCTGTCCACGCCATCCGCGGAGATCGGCTAAAACGCGTATGCTGTTATGGTGAATACATGGCAAATTGTGTGTGGCTCACAACGCAACACCACTTGGCACCTATTGCATCACCAACACGGAAAAATAAATCGCACGTTCAACCAAGGAAGCACACGCAATCCATAGCACAGAAGCAGGCGCTGCAGTGGCACGTCAGTCCGTAACTTCCGCCAGGCAAAACTCAACGTCACGCACACAATTTTGCCAATAATTTCGGCAAGTGAGGTGAGCGTTTCGAGGCAAGCTATGAAATTCATTTGAAAAGAATCTGTGAAACTTTCAAGCCTGCAATTTGGCAT